ATGACAACACGCTGCCTGCTGACCACACTCTGAACAAGAGTCCAGCTGAGTTTGCTGATGTGTTTGAAGGTTCTGACAGTTCTCCTGAGGTAAGAAGCTTTACCTCATGACATAAACTACAAAACTTTCTTTCAAAGATTTTCTCCTCCAATGTTATTTCTTAATTTATTGCTTTAATTTTTCATTATGTTAATTGTTTTTGGTGCTGAACCGTATTGGATTTTCCTGACATATTCATCCATGACTCTGAAAAAAGGTGCTATGGTGGGTCTTGTTGGTGGGGAGGTGGTTTGGTTGGCTATAATGCACCAATAATAATTTAAAACTTCCCATTTAAACTGCGGAATGGTGAAACCGAACATAAACATAGGATTCAGAAAGAGTTTTTAATGCATTATTTATTTTAGTAATTTTTTCTCACCACTGCAATCATGTATTATTATATTATATGAAGACAATGTGTCTATATTAGTACGTGAATATATTTGCAATTGCAATAAGGCAATTTAACAATGCTAGTTTATTTATTGTTTTGCTTCTATCTTTTTGTATTCTTTCTTTCATCACCACGGCATCCATCATTTTCTCGACCTTTTGTTTTGAATGATTCTTCAATTATTAACTTTTTTTATTTATTTATTTGTATGGTTTGCTTTGGGTGTGTGTCTCTGTCTGTGGTTTTGAACATAGTGAGCCCACTGAGTTGCTGATGTCTGAACACATGGTTGGTACGGTAATCGTTTATTCAGATCATAACTTATGAAATATGTTTGGAGGTCGTGATGGTTTTCTTAGCCAGGTTTCTGTTTAGTTTATTCTCTTAGCAGTTACTATTGTCTTTAAAATACTATTTTAATTTTGTTGTGAATACTGGTAATGGTTAAGTTGCTTCTTTTCAGTCTGTTTTACATTTCACCATGTAACTGTGGATCAAGATGCATGAGCGGTGAGATGTTACTGTCAGTCAAGCTGCAAGTTTTATTTTATTTAACAATAAATATAATTAAAAAATCACAGATATTGTTTTTTCTAGTTTACATTGATAAAATAGGCTGAGCTATCGTATTCAGTGATCATGTAATACAGTTGTATTGGCTTTATTTCCAATAATCTAAATACATTTCTTAAAAACACATTTCTCTTAAACAAATATGTTTTAAGGCAATAAATGTTTTATGAGAAGAAAGAGAGTGTTCTGCTAGCAGTAAGATCTGATAGTTCACACAACTAACCTGCTAGAGGAGTGCACTAAGGGGAGTTCAAGTGTCTGCGCAAGGCTAAAGACAAATTAATAAAAAGTCAATTATAACTTCATTTTTATTTTGCAAAACCTACAAAACACATATTAGGGAAAAGTGCAATTTCAAAAAAAATAAGAACTTCTAGTATGTGTTCGCATTATTCATTTAATTGTCTGGTTGTTGTGCTGTCAACAATATATACATTTATGATGTTGTATATTAACTAAGTTTAGTGTAAAAGCGTGAACCTAAAATATTTTCATCCTTATTTGAATAAGAATATTATCTTTGACTGTTTAGTCATACTACCACCAAATTTGAGAAATAAGAGGTGCTGGTTGCTTTTGAGGGTTTATTTGTTTTCTCTTGTCTGTTTCTACAGTTGACATCACTCTTTGTTAAAATCAGGTCTCTTCTCTAAATGAGTCCCATAGGCTCAATGGGATTAACCTGTCTAAATAAAGGTTGGATTAATAAATTTATCACCAGTGTTTAAACTGTATATTGGAATTATTTAAGTGAGATTTGCAGTAAGTGGTTAAATGTCAGTTCTCTGGGAGTGATTTCTACTGATTACAATAACTGGTTTGGTTAGGATGTGGTGATCATTATTCTACGAATTGCACGTTTAACATTTGCCATTAGTGTCTTTGAATGCAAATTCATTCCTGAATCATCAGTCTCAGAATCTTGAGGATACAAAAAAACATTTTAACCCCTTTCCTGGTAATATTGCCATAGCTCCTCATAGGCTTGATTATTATAATAGCTTAGCTTAACACAGCAAGCTTTTATCTAATATTGCACATTGAAAAGTTATTGAAATAGTAAAACATCTGACCCTTCAGAAACATTTTTTTGTCCTTGTGGTGTTTTCAGTACATTAGCTGTTGTGTCTCTGTCCTTGGTGCTGATGAACCCTTGTAGTCTCGAGCAGAAATCTGAATGTTTTTTTCAACAGTTTATATTATTCCGATAGTTTAGCTGAGTTGTTGATTCTTTTATACCGATGGTTACTTTATGGTGGAGCATGTCTTCCTTTTATTTTATTGTTTTCAATCCATCAGGTTGTATTTATCCTTAAGCTTTGCAGTATTTTACTTTAAATGTTGAAAGTACTAATAAACCTAACTATTGCTCGTCAGAGGATAAAACGACAACCGGGTTTAGGGATTCGAACCAGATCGCAGACAGCAGGAAGGTTTAAAGGATATAGTAATAAACTATCTGGTGGAGGTCTTAGTCCTTGGGCCAGCACAATCTTAACAGACAGATAAGGGAGCGATTCCTTGAAGGAGTTGGTTCTGATGACTTCACCCATGGTGAAGATGAGCCGTTTTTGAGACTGAGCTCAGCAGTGAGCAGAAAGGAGGGGAATCCAAATGGCAGGTTCAGAGAAACAGACAAGGCCGATACACAGGTGGTCAGAGATCCGAAGTCAATCTTGAGACAAGATAAAAAAGTTGTGGTCCTTGGAGGAAGTCGAGGTAATTTCCATAAGCAGAGCAGATAATCCAAAACAGACGGGCAGAGAGCAAGGCGAGGAATCCGTGGAACAGGGGTGAGGTCAAAACCAGGAAGACAAACAAGACTATGGCATGGATACTGGATATTTACTCCCTTTTAGGCTTTTAATAATCTGGCACTGAGTATTGTGGCTGTGGGGTTTAAATACAGGTGACAACAGGTGAGCTGCATGAGGGCTGATTGCAGTGACTCAGCAGAGTGGGTGTGGTTAGGTGAGCAGAGCAGGAAGTGCAGCAGGATGGGTGATAGGCATTACAGAGACTTTGTAACATAAACCAGGACATGAATGAAAAGAGAAACATGGCAAGTTGGAGCAGAAACATGACACAGCTTTCAGATCTTCCAATGCAGGGTTCTAGTTTAATAGGCTTGTACTTTATAAATAATAATAAGGCATGTTTTAAAATAAATCTTAACCATATCAGTTAAATGCAGTTTATTTTTATTTTATTTTATTTTATTTTGTACCCTACAGTAATAAAAAAGATGCGTATTAAAAACAAGATTGGGTGTGTTGACTAGCATGCTGATGCTGCTGACTGGACATATTCTGAGTGATTTCGGAAAAAAAAAAAAAAAAAAAATCAAATATAGTTTTTAAACATTTTCTTAAGAAAGTCACATTTGTTTTTCAGTGTATTTTCTTCTTTCCACTGACGGTGTCGCTATTCGACTGAATATATTTCCACTCCACCCTTTATTGTGTAAACCGATGAAAGGATTTTTTTTTTTTTTTTTTTTTTTCAGACCCAGTTGTTTTGGCTGCGCAGCCAGAACCAGAATATCTGCAGCTCTGTCGGTGCTCTACTTTATGATCTTGAGCCTATTGGAAATCTATCTGAGGATTGTGCTTTTGTATTCCTGGACACGTTTCATTTGAGCCACTATGGAGCGCATGCGGTTCTGCCTTTTTTTCTTTGTAATGTTGCACGCTGTGAACGGAGAACTGAGCTTTTCATTCCAGGAGGAACTGAAGCGCGGATCTGTTATTGGAAATATGGCCAAGGATCTGGGCCTGGATTTGCGTGAATTCTCATCGAGAAATGCCCGCGTTGATGCCGCAGGAAATCGCAAACGATATTGCGACATCAACTTCAGCAGTGGGGATTTAATTGTTACCGACAGGATCGACCGGGAGGAGCTTTGTGGAGAAAAGCTGTCGTGCGTAATCAAACGCGATCTTGTATTGGAGAATCCTCTTGAGCTGCACCCTTTTAGTTTACATATTCACGATATAAATGACAACGAACCGCAGTTTAATGAAGGTCCATTCAATATAGAAATTGCAGAATCAGCAGTCAGGGGTGCGCGCTTTGTCATCGAGGAGGCGCACGATGCGGATGTGGGCCAAAATTCTGTTCAGCAGTACCGACTAGAAAAGAATGATCATTTCATTTTGTCTGCGGATGGAAGCACATTAGAGCTGGTTCTAGATAAGGAGCTAGATCGTGAAAAACAGAATCAATTAAAATTGATTTTGACAGCTTTAGACGGAGGCGCACCTCAGAGATCAGGTACTGCAGTTATTCATGTCTCTGTGCTGGATGCTAATGATAACGCCCCAGTGTTCAGTCAGGCTGTTTATAAAGCCAGTCTGCCTGAAAACTCTCCTTTAGACACTGTGGTGGTTACTGTCAGTGCTACTGATGCAGATGAAGGAGTGAATGGAGATGTAAGTTATGATTTTGGGCATGTTTCAGAGGAGGTGAAGAAAGTTTTTAGTATCGACCGTAAAAAGGGAGAAATAAAACTTGTCAGCAAAATAGATTTTGAAACTGTCACAAATTACGATTTACGCATAAAAGCAAAAGATGGATTAGGGTTATCTACTTACACGAAGGTGATCATAGATGTAATTGATGTCAATGATAATGAGCCTGTAATATATGTGAAGTCCATGACAAACCCAGTGCCAGAAAATATTTTACCTGGTACAGAGGTGGGAATCATTAATGTGCAGGATGCGGATTCTGAAAATAACCAACAGGTGCGCTGCTCCATCCAGCAAAACGTGCCTTTTAAGTTGGTTC